AGGCCCCTTACGGGTCACCACCCTTCGACCTGCCTGACTTTGAGGACGATGATGGCCCCTATGGAGAGTCCGAGGCTCCTGCCCCACCCAGCCGGGGCACCGGCTGGCCCTATCGGTCCCGAGACACCCGAGGCTCCTTCCCAGAGCCTGAGGAGTCCTCTGAAGGTGGAGGCTATGCGGGTGAGCACCTTGCATTGAGATGATGGGTGAGGCGTGGAGACAGTGATGAGAGAGGAGGGAGGGAGACACAGAAAGAGAAGGCAGAAGGACAGGGCCACGGAGAGCAGTGCAGTGAGATCAGAGAAACACCTGTAGTGAAATGAGAGGAGAAAAGCTAGGAGAGCTGGGCAAGGTAACCCTGGCCCCACAGTGCCCCTGCAGTCCCAGAGCGGGAAGGACAGTTTATCTATGTATGTGTGTATGTATGCATGCATGTATGCGTGTATGCATGTATGTATGCATGTATGTATGTATTTAGGTACTGGGGCTTGAACCCAGGGACTACTTAGCTATACCACCAGCCTTTTTAAAATTTTGAGGCAGGGTCTCGCTAAATTGCCTAAACTGGCTTCAAATTAGCAATCCTCCTGTCTCAGCCTCCCGAGTGCTGGGATTATAGATGTTTGCCACCAGGCCCGGCTAAGAGAATCAGTTTAGAATGAGACCTGCAGAGCCAGGGTCACAGGTACTGTAGAAGGGATGAAGGGACTGGAAGATGGAGATCAGGAGTCACCGTGTTCCTGCGTTCACGTAGGTTCCCTGGCCGAGCCCTATGAGGGGCTGGAAGCAGAGGAGTGTGGGATCCTGGATGGCTGCGCCCATGGCCGCTGCGTGCGCGTCCCCGAAGGTTTCACCTGCGACTGCTTCGATGGCTACCGCCTGGACATAACCCGCATGGCCTGCACCGGTGAGGGGCAGGAGGGGTCAGGGCTGAGCAGAGAGGTTGGAAGCTCTGGCCACTGTCAGAGGGGCCTGGGCAAGGCCCAAGTCCAGGGCACAGGCCTTTCTGGGGCTGGGGGTGTGGTCATTCTTGCTGAATGGTGGGGCTCGATGAAGAAGAGAGGATCAGGATGTGTGGAAGGCAGGGCTTGACCACAGATCTGGGGCTGGGATTGCTAAGGACTCCTCATGCTGCTTTGAGCAGTTTACATGACCTCTTCGGCAAGCCCGTCTTCCCATCTATAACATGGGAAAATGAATCTTGTCTGCCTAGTTTAGGCAGGGGGAAGCCTGAGGAAAGCCGAGTGATTACATCAGGAACTCCGTATGAGTTGGATAGACCTCTGACTCAGTCCAGTAACTTCCTGTGACTCTGGTTGGGTCACTGTCCCTTGCTTAGCTTTCCTCATCTGAAAAATGGGCATAGTCAAAGAACCTATTCAGAATTATGAACATCATTAACGCTGATTTACAATAACAGTGAAGCCTGTGTGTAAACCAAGGCTCAAAAATGAGAACTGTGGGGCCGGGGATTTAGCTCCGTGGTTTCACTGCCTGCTGCGCAAGTGCAAGGACCCGAGTTCGATCCCCAGTACCAAAAAAAAAAAAAATGAGAACTGAGTTCCCCGAAAGCAGCAGGGGACGGGGACTGGGCTCTCAGGCTTGGACGGCAGGCCTGGGAACCCACATGGAGTCTGGGCTCGCAGTGTGACATCGGGAAAGGGTTTTCGAAGGCTGGGTGGGCCTCGGTTTGCACAGACCTAACCTAAAACAGGATCCCAGTAGCTACCTTATAGGGTTATTAGTATTATAAAGTTAAAGTATTTCTCGGGCCCAAGTGCCCCAGGGTTCTGGAAGGCGGGCTTCTGGGTCCCCACCCTTGAGCAGCACCCATTCTACCACCTCCCTAGACATCAACGAGTGTGATGAAGCAGAGGCGGCCTCCCCACTCTGCGTCAATGCGCACTGTGTCAACACGGATGGTTCCTTCCGCTGTGTCTGCCGTCCAGGATTTGGACCCACACACCAGCCGCACCACTGCGCGCCTGCGCGGCCCCGGGCCTGAGCCCCCGCACCTGCCCGCAGCCATTCACTCCTGCGCACTAGGCCCTGGCGCGCACACCTGCAGCCGGTCTGTGCGCTTGCGCACAGGGACGCGGCTGGCTGGGACTGAGTGGACAAATGTTGGACAGCACTGTTCACTGCTCCCGCCACCCCAACCCTTCCCACCGGCACCCTGGACCTAGCCTAGCCCTTGGTTCCCTTCACATTTCCTTGCCCTTTTATAAAATTTTCCATTAAAAACACCTATTTTCTATCTTTTGGTTCTGCCTGCTTTTTCTCAAACTCTGACTCCAGAGTTTGCTCTTGGAGTCATTGAATTACACACACATGCACACACGCATACACCACTCTAGACTGTAGGCCAGACTCAATTTCCACAACTGTCACTTAGTCTGTCTCTTATCTTCTACCTGACTCCTCCTGTCTTTTTTTCTCTTTGTTGCTCTATCTCTGCCTAATTTTCTCTGCCCAGCTCCCTTTCTGTCATATCCTTTTTTTTTTTTTTTTTTTTTTGGTACCGGGGATCGAACTTGGGTCCTTAGCTTGCAAGGCAGGCGGTGGAACCACTGAGCTAAATCCCCAGCCCAGTGAATTATTCCCTTCTAGACTCACACATTCTTTTTTTTTTTTCTTTTTTTTTTGGTACCAGGGATCAAACTCAGGCGGCGAAACCACTGAGCTAAATCCCTGGCTGTCATATCCTCTTTGTCCTTTTTGGGGAGAGGTGCTGGGCCTTTGCACTGAACTACATCCCAGCCCGTTTTTTTGTTTGTTTTTTGGGGGTTTGGGGGGGCTTTTTGGTACTGGGGATCCAACTCAGGACCTTGTGCTTGCGAGGCAGGCAGTGGCACCACTGAGCTAAATCCCTGGCCCTTGAGACAGGATCTCGCTAAAGTCACTCTGTTTGCCAGGCTGGTCTTGCACTTGTGACCCTCCTGCCTCGGCCTCCCACAGTGCTAGGATTACAGTCTTATGCCACCACACCAGGTCTGTGTCTTATTTTCTCTCCTGTTTCATTGTTCTCAAATCTTCAGTGTGATCTTGACCTTAAGGATTTCAGCACCTACTCTTGACCCTTTTTGTAAATCCTTGTAGTCAGCAGGGTTTGGCTAGGGAAAACATTGAATACAGGACACATAGTTTATAAGATTGTCTTATGATAATTACCCAAAAAGTCAAATGCAAGAGATTGACCACACACTAGAAGTCCAAAGGATTCAGCTGAGAGCTTAGAGTCCAAGGCGATGTCCTCCATGAGTGCAGCCAGAGGCCTAGAGCCCACTGCATATCTCATGCTTGTCCGTATTGAGGCTCTGCCCCAGGTAGGCCCAAAGGCCAGTGGTGGAAGCCAGAAAGCCTACACAGGTGAGATGAAGGATCTGTACCACCAAGCTGAGGCACCCACATTGGAGGCAGGAAGTGATGTTCACGGTGAAGATCAGAGCTCTCCTGACAAAAATAGCAGCCATTCCCAGCAACAGGGAGGCCCTGAGCTCCTCCTCTGAGGAGAACAGCCAAGTTCGCATCAGGGAAACCATCCGAAGCAAGCTTCTAGAAAATCAGCAGGCCAAGATCTTCCCCTCCAGCTCTCTTTTTATGCCATTGGTAACAATCCTCGGGTGGATCCTGCACACCCAGACCATGCTGATTCAGTTCAACTGGGCATTACAAGTTGACCGTTAGTCAATCCACCACAATCCTCCTGGACTCTGCCATCCTGTTTGGAGCCTCTGGGTCACTGTCAGGGAGACAAGGGAGCCTCAGATCCTGCCAGGGGAACTCTCCGTTCTCGGTTTTCATCCACTCCTCACAGATGGCTCCTAAGCCAGCCCGGGAGAAATAGGATCCAGGGAGGGGTCGAGAGTCCCTGGAGGGTGGGCCTAGCCCCAGTGCTGCAGCTGGGAGCCGGCTGTGACCTGAGCGGGAGCCACAGTCCTGGCCAATGCCCTGTGCAGGGATGAGCTCTGTGTGATGGTGATGTGACCAGCACTGTTGCTCTGTATCCCCTGCCTACTTCTGTCTGTGTGGGGGAGCAGAATCCCCCTGCCTAAGGAACAAGCACAGTGTGGCCTGGCAGACTCAGGGTGGGTGGGGTGCAGGTTTGGGAATTAAGGGGCCCACTGGCCCTGGGCTGGGCTTTGTTTCCACCTGAGGTCTCTCCCGAGGGTTTCAAACCCAAATTCTTCAGGGGTCCAGACAAGTGATGTGGGAGGGTCACCAAAGCAGGATAAAAGAAGGCATAAAGTGACATTCTACCTTGGGGGACCAGGAAGGGAACTCTCCCATGCTTAATAGTAGTAAAGGATCTTTTATAACCACTCAGTGTGGCACTTCCGGCCTGTGAGCTACCACTTTTAACCCTCCAGGTCCAGCTTCAGTTGCATGTACAGGATGGGATCTCTGCCCGGACCTGATCCCTGCCCGTCCCGAGCTCCCAGTGGGGCCACTGAGAGCCTGTGTGCCCCATGTGCTCACTGAATGGGTTGTTGATGGCCATTACATGAGTCATCTATGGCGAGTGCTTAGAATGTCACCTGGCACACAGCAAGCACACAGTCACTGTCACAACCCTGGGCCTCCAGAATATCCTGAGCCCTGTGGCCAGGCAGATGGCAAGGGCAGATGGCTGAGTCTTGCTCTTTACCCATTCCTCCTCAAAGGGTGCAAGAAGAGGCCAGACTCCGTCCCCTTCCATGGAAAAAGGAGAAGCACTGAGCATGGGGTCCTTGTGGAGAGTGATTTCAGGGCTCCACAAAGTGGGGGTGGGGGTGGGGGGGTGGTTGCACAACTCTACTGAAAAATCTTTGAATTATACACTTCAAATGAGTGAGCTGTGTGGTATGTGAACCACAACTCCAGAAACTTGGAAAAACAAAACCAAGTTAAAAAAATACTGTACAAATAGGGTCAGGAAGTTATGCACCACCTGACAAGGAAGCCAACCCAAACACTAACCTTTCATTCATTTATTCAATAAATGTTTTTCATAATACATGCTTTTGAGTGTTGGGAAAATAAACTTTAACCCAGCATTATGGGGAGGGAGCTAGGGAGGTCCCCTGGAGATGTCTGGGCTGAGAGCTGAAGGATGTCAGGAAATGAGCTGGATAAAGTGGAGGAGGCAGTGTTCCAGGTGAGGGAACAGCATCTGCAAAGGCCTAGAGGTAAGAAAGGCAAATATAGGCCGGGGATTTAGTTCAGTGGTTCTGGCGCCTGCCATGCAAGGGCAAGGTCCTGAGTTTGATCCCTGGTACCAAAAAAAAAAAAAGAAAAGAAAAAAGAAAAAGAAAGGCAAATATCTTTAAGATGTTTTCCTTGTGGTGAGCCAGCCCTGTGTTAGACAATGCTGGGGACATTTTAGGTGCCTAAGAAATCCCTGCCCTCATGGAGCTCCATGGGGGAATGCAGGCACACTGCCACATGTGACACCTGTACTGTGAAGAGGGGGGCACAGGCAGAGGGAAGATTAAGGTGCTGGGAGGAGGGACTTGGGCCTGTCTGAGAGCACAGAAGCCTTCCCAGAGAAAGAGAGAGCTTCAGACTGTTTGGAGAGACTGTGGAAAGCTCTGGACATTCATAGAAAAAAACACAAAAACTCAAAAAGCATTGCAGGTAGTTTCCAAATACTCACATTCTCACCCTGCTGCATGCCTGTAATTCCAGCACTCTGGTAGGCTGAAGCAGGAGGATCACAAGTTGAAGACCAGCCTGGACAATTTAGCAAGATCCCATTAAAAAAAAAAAAAAAGTGAGGGGGGTGTTTTGGAGATGTAGCTCCGTGCAGAAGGCCCTGGGTTCAATCCCCAATACCACTCCACACCCCACCCCCCGCCATCTCAATCCCTCCGTGGGCATCCCATCCCCTACCCACAATCACTTTGCCGTATAAATGTCCTTACCAATGTGAACGACAGCTGGAAAACTCTGAGGTGGAATTTCAGAATACTGGGGTTGGGGACTGGAGTGGGAGCCACACATATCCTTCTCACCTCCCGCTGGGCCTAAAGATGAGGCCAAAGACCTAATTTTCCTTTTGCCTATGTCCCGCGTATTAATCCCCAGCCCTGGCCCTGGGGCTTTTAGCACTGGGTGGGATGGAAGCATTCTCCTCTGGCATGTCCACAGGGAGCTGGTCCAGCCGGTCACTGCGCTCGCAGGACAAGCGCCACAGCGCCCTCTGATGGTCACCACGCGCTGACGCATCCCAAGCCGGCCGCGTCCTCTAGTGACCGATGTTCAAACATCCATCAGTCACAGGATGGGGTCCTTGTCATCTTCGTGGTCACTGTCATCAACATCTTCAATGGCTAATATATAAGTAGCGCTTCCTATGCGCCAATATCTATTCTGCCTTATACATATTACTTCATTTAACCTTCACTGCCCTGTAATGGTGTTATTACCATCCCCATTTTCCTCATTTAAAGCACAGAAAGAAATTTATGCAGTCACACAACTCTACTAAGAGTACTAAGTAGAGCCTGAATAGAACTTTATAGACAGTCTGATTCTGGACTCATTTTCTGAACCATCCAGAAATAGTCGTGAATGCCAAGCTGGGTGGCCTATGCCTGTACCACCAGCTGCTCTGGAGGTTGAGGCAGATACACTTGAGCCCCAGGATGCAACAATGGCCATGGGCTGGGGATGCAACTCAGTGGTGCCACACTTGCCTGGCAAGTGTAAGGTCCTGAGTTCGATCCCCAGTACGGGCAGGGGGTGGCCTGGGCAACACAGTGAGATTGCATCTGTAAATAAAATAATAAAATAAAAGCCAGGTGTGATACTCCCAGCACTCTGAGATCACAAATTTGAGCCTAGCCGGGGCAATCTAGTGACTTAGCAAAATCCTGTCACTAAAAAAAAAAAAAAATTTTTTTTAAAGACAGAGGATGGAGCTCAATATGAAGGCACTGGGTTCAATCCCTAGTAACATACCACACACACACACACACACACACACACACACAAATCCTGTAGAACTGAGGCCAAAGATGCAAGAATCTGGGTCTCTAGATGTCCACATTGCCAGCCTGGCTGACTTACCCCTGGAGTATTATGTGAGAGAGAAATTAACTGCTTTATGCAAGTCACCATTTTTCCAAGTCTCGGATACCCTAAACAAGAGCTCCAGAATCACCTGGAGGGCTCAGGCAGCCAGGTTGGGACTGAGAATTTGTAGTTCAAGTAAGTTTCTGGGGCTTCTGCTGATTGGAGGATGACAGACAGGCTTTTTGCTTTTTTCCTGTTGGTTTGTTTGGTGGCACTAGGGGTAGAACCCAGGCCTCAGGCAGGCTAGGTAACTGCCATCCCCAGCCCCCTGAGGACCCCTCTGCCCATGGCTCCCAGCCTTCGTTTCCACTTCCCCTGTGGAAGAACCACTTTCTCTGTCCTCGTGGTTCACAGGCACTGAGCCTGCTGGCTGACTCCTGACCTGGCCAGCTTGGCATCCCTGCCCTGCTCTGTGCAGCTGGGTTGGGGATGGGCTCAAGCTGGAAGCCAGGCTAAGGAGAGTCAGCCTGGGGCCGGGCTATGCAGTGCAGCCTGTGGCCTTACTGTGCTGGAAGGGCACAGGCTGGAAACCCCAGGCTTCCTCCAGGGAAAAGCTGTCCAGAAAACAAAGCAGCATGGGGAAGCACGGCTGCGAGAGATCAGAGGACCTGAAATTCCTCAGAGGTACCTCAGAGTCCAGTCACCCCTAGAACTTTGGACATTTTTATTATTTTAAGACAGGGTCTTGCTGTGTAGTCTAGGCTGGTCTTGAAGTCACTGTGTGGCCCAGGCTGGCCTCTAACTCATGGCAATCCTCCTGTCTCAGCTTCCCAAGTGCTAGGACTACAGATGTGCAGCACCACAGCCAGCCAAGAGACTTTCAGAAAATAAAAAATTTTAAAAATCTTTTAAAAGGTCTGAGCACTTACCTAGCATGTACAAGGAAGGCCCTGGATTAAATTCTTAGTACTGGGAAATACACACTAAAATGTTTAGGGTTATAGGACCATGGTGTACATAGCTTCAAATGTTCAGGAAAAAAATCAGAGAAAAAATATACACACATAAAAGAGAAGGGGACAGCAAATGATAAAGTAAATGAAGTAAAAAAAAGTTTTAACAACTGGACAGGGTCTCCCTATGTAGTTCAGGCTGTCCTTGAACTCACTGCATGCCCAGGCTTGCCTTAAACACTTGGCAGTCCTCCGACCTCAGCCTCCTGAGTGCTGGGATTGATTACTGGTGTGTGCCACCACACCTGGCAGCTTTTTTTTTTGTACTGGGGATCGAACTCGGGACCTTGCACTTTTGGAGCAGGTGGTGGAACCACTGAGCTAAATCCCTGGTCTGGCTTGATATTATTTTTATCTTATTTATTTATCTATTATTGATTTTTTTCCCAGTACCAGGAATATCTGTAATTTCTTCTTCTTCTTTTTTTTTTGTACTGAGGATTGAACTCAGAACCCTGCACTTGTGAGGCAGGCACTTGTGAGGTGCGATGACACTGAGCTAAATCCCCAGCCCCTAATTATTGTGTTTTTGAGACAGAGTCTCCCTATGTAGTCCAGGTTGGTCTTTAACTCACTATGGAGCCCAGGCTGGCTTGAACTCACAGAGATCCTCCTGCCTCAGCCTCCCAAGTGCTGTGATAACAAGGGTGTGCCAGAATGCAGGGCTTGAAGGTTTTTTTGGTACTGGGGATCAAACTTGGTACATTGTGCTTGCAATTGACATTATTTTTTAAAGAAAAAATAAAAAAATTTTTTTAAATGAGAGGCCTTGAGCCAGGTGTGGTGGCACATACCTATAATCCCAGTTCTCTGAGAACCTGAGGCAAGAGGATTGCAAGTTCTAGCCTAGCAAGGGAAACTTTGTGGCTTCTAGGCCTGTCTCAAAATAAAAAATGAAAGTGCAAGGTCCCGAGTTCAATCCCTGGTACCAAAAAATAAAAAATGAAAAGGGCTTGCCACCTGCCTCGAAAACGCAAGGTCCTGAGTTCGATCCCCAGTTCAAAAAAAAGAAAAGAAAAGAAAAGAAAAGGGCTAAGGGATGTAGCTCAATGTAATTTTTTTTTTTTCTAGAAAGCCCTTCTATAATTACTCCATTTTCCATTGCTATAACAAAAATTGAAGCTGGGAGTATATGGTAGAGCACTGGCCTAGCCTGAATCAGGCCCTGGGTTTCATTCCCAGCACCATAATAAAACAAAACAAAAATAAAAATACCTGCAAGTGTGGTGGTGCACGCCCGTGATCCCAGCACCCTGGGAGGCTGAAGCAGAAGGACCACAAGTTCAAGTCCAGCCAGGGCAATTTAGTGAGACTCGTCTCAAAATAAAAAATAAAAAAGGGCTGGGAATGTAGCTCAGTGCGAAGATCCAGGATTCAATAATCCCCAGTAAATACTGCAAAAATAAATAAAAAAATTAATATACCACCCTGAAGCTGGTTAATGTATAGAGAACAGAGGTTTATTTAGGTCACAGAGCATGGCACAGACACCAACTTGATAGGGGAGGAAAGCAAGGGTGGGCGTTTGCCGGAGAGGGCAGGCAGAGAGCCAGAGAAAAGGGAGGGCCTGCCTCGCTTTCTTGAACAATCCTCCCGTGAGAACTCGCTCCGTCTTTTCCAAGGGTGACGTCACCTCCCGCTAGGCCCCGCCCCCCAAAGTCACAGCTCCTCTCACGTTGACACGTGGGAGTGGGGGGGTGGAGGGGTGGGCAGTGGACCAAACTTCCAACACGCGAACCTCTGGGGGGCTCAAACCGCATCCAAACCGTGGCAGGTCTAATGTCCTGTAGAGCAACACCAATACAAGTAGAACTGGGGAGATCAAAGAGAAAGCTCTCTTGGTACCTGAGTCCTAGGCCAGAGGTGCAACTCTGGGGTCCCAATATTTTAGGCTCCACCACACGCCCCTAAAACAAGCAAAAAAATAATGGTGCAAATCAGGAAAGGAACTTTAATCAGTACAACTCTATCAAAAAGACGAGGACCTGTGTCCTCAGCCCTGTCTTCAGGGACACCGAGAATAGCATAGCGTTGTATTTAAATAGGGAAGGGCCAGAAGCAGGGCAAGGGGTTTGGGGAGGAGGAAGCACATGCATTCAGTCTTGGTCAAACAGAGGTCCTGATGGTCACTATCTCAGGATGGCCAGGGGCCTAGTTGGCAATTAAGAAATCTGCTGTAGGGCCGGAGATTTAGCTCAGTGGTTCCACCACCTGCGTCGCAAGCACAAGGACCTGAGCTTGATCCCCAGTACCCCCCCAAAAAAGAAAAAAAGAAATCTGCTGTAAGCTAGGCATGGTGGTGCACACCTGTGATCCCAGCACTTGGGAGGCTGAGGCAGGAGGATCACCATGAGCTCAAGGCCAGCCTGGGCTACATAGTGAGTTCAAGCTCAGCCTGAATTGCATGATGAAATCCTGCCTCAATAATTAAATAAATACATATACTGTAAACCAGGCATGGTCCAGGTACACTGTAGTCCAGCACTTTGGGAGGCCAACACAGGAGAATTGCAAGTTTGAGCCCAGCCTGGGCAGCTTAGCAACTTAGTGAGACCTTGTTTCAAAATAAAAACTGGCTGGGCACATAGCTCAGTGTGAAGGGCCCAGGTTAAATCCCCAGGAGTGGGGTGGGTGGGTGGTTGCTGGAGCTTGGAGGCTGAGGGGCAGTTGCCTCCTGGCACAAGATACCTATTCATGAGACCTGTTTTTACTGGACTCCAAGGTGACTGCAGGAGAGAGTGACTCAGAGCAGAAGAGATGGATGCAAAATGGAGGCAGAGATGCCAAGTTTTTATCCTGCTGAGTTACCCAGTGGGCACTTGCAGCCCCAAGTGACGCACCAGTGCTTTTAGTGAAGCCAGCCACGAAGTCCCTGTCATTCTCTGGGGTCCAGGTAGCGTTGACAGATGCTGAAGCCACTGATCTGACTTTGGGCCTGACTTTCAAAGTGTGCATGTAAAATTTCAGACTGTTACTAAACTAATGGAAATGGTGCATAGGTTCCAAGGCAGTAGAGGGAAAAGAAGGGTTAGGAAAACATATGACAAAAGCAAATGAGAAACACAGCCAATTAGAAGCTTAAATGAGAGAGGAAACAAACGGAGAAAAAAATTGGGGATGATAAATCACAA